CTGGAGCTGTTGCAAGCATCAGTGAGGTTTTGTTGGATCATGTTGTCCAAATTTCTGGAGCTGTTGCAAGCATCAGTGAGGTTTTGTTGGATCATGTTGTCCAAATTTCTGGAGCTGTTGCAAGCATCAGTGAGGTTTTGTTGGATCATGTTGTCCAAATTTCTGGAGCTGTTGCATGCATCAGTGAGGTTTTGTTGGATCATGTTGTCCAAATCTCTGGAGCTGTTTCATGCATCAGTGAGGTTTTGTTGGATCATGTTGTCCAAATCTCTGGAGCTGTTGCCTGCATCAGTGAGGTTTTGTTGGATCATGTTGTCCAAATCTCTGGAGCTGTTGCAATCATCAGTGAGGTTTTGTTGGATCATGTTGTCCAAATCTCTGGAGCTGTTGCAAGCATCAGTAAGGTTTTGTTGGATCATGTTGTCCTCATCTCAGGAACCGTTGCAAGCTTTGAAGTTTTGTTGGCTCTGGATTCCATGAATGAGTTTCAGCATTCTGGTTAGATTAAATTAGTTTTATTCATTTGTTAAGTGCAAAGCAATACAATTAGCTATCCGTGCTGAGTTTGCCATGGGTATCAAAACCCAGTTTTTAGAATTATAAGCCTTCAGACTTGCCACTGAAACAATGAGGGCTAGATCAAATAAATTATAAATATTACCAGTTCCTTGAAGCCATGCAAGAACCAGTTTAATAAATTCTTCTGGTTCAAAGTAGGCTTCATAATGATATGAATTTCTATATTAATCATCCAAGTAAACTGGAGTAAAAATATCAAATGTAACTTTGTTCTGGCAGATTTATCAGATAATGGCAGCTGTTTTCATTTAGTACCATTTTAAACCAGTATTGGTAATTGATGATGATGATATTAAAATTCATTAATGATTTAACACAAAGCAAAGTTAACAAATATTTTTATTTGTTCCAGAAGGAAGAATAACCTTTTTAGTCTTTTTACTTCTAGAATTTAGCACTTCCCCACAGACGTTTAGTCTGTTATTGTCGACTGTATGAAGTATACGATATCAACAAGAAGGAACGGCCAGGACTTCATCAGAGAGAGGTTTTTCTTTTCAATGATATGATTATGGTACGTCAACTTTGTGCATTAAAGTTTGTATGCACATAACGAGGTTTTTATCAAGTATAGAGAATGACAGGCACTTCAAACTTTTGGATTTGTAGCTATTAACAATACTGTAAGGAAGACTTGGACATTTGTAGCTATTAACAATACTGTAAGGAAGACTTGGACATTTGTAGCTATTAACAATACTGTAAGGAAGACTTGGACATTTGTTGCTATTAACAATACTGTAAGGAAGACTTGGACATTTTGTGAATGAAACTATCTGTACTATGTAAATTCTCTGTTAGGAAATAAACTATTGTATAGCAACCTGAGAAGTAAGAATAGAAACATTAACATTGCTTATAAACAAACATCGTGTCAGTAACATTGAAAGATATTTAACATTGCTTATAAACAAACATCGTGTCAGTAACATTGAAAGATACTTCTTGGACTAACGTTTTTTAGGTAAACCAACTTGTATGAAATGTATTCATTTAAAACAGAAATTTGCACTGACTAGCAGGGTGAAGATAATAATTCATTGTAAAATTATATTAGCTTATTTTTGGGTTTAGACATTTTAATAGTATCCTGTTTAGAAACACCTAGAAATATGTATGTAAAAACTGTTATGTACTTGTTTAATAGGTGTAATTATCAAAACGTTTTGTGCTGATGAAGGATGTTTTTTATTTTTGTTGTATAAATAGATTACTAAAGTTTTCAACAAGAAGAAAAACAGTGTGGCGTATACCTTCAGACAATCATTCCCTCTTTGTGGCCTGAATGTTACTCTGTTTGAAACATCCTGTAAGTATATAAGATCTTTGTTTATAAATGTATATATTGACTTTCAATAAATATCGCCCCCCTCAGTGGCACAGCAGTATGTCTGCTGACTTACAACGCTATAATCTGGGTTTCGATACTCGTGGTGGGCAGAGCACAGATAGACCATTGTGTAGCTTTGTGTTTAATTATAAACAAACAAACGATAAATATTAAACTTATCAAGTTTAATTTAAATGTGCCTGAACAATATAATGTACTACCTATAAAATAATAATTCCTGATTTGATGCAATGTAGAAAGTAATTCTGTTTTTGAATGGTGTACTAGCTTTCTCTCTCAGCAAATTTTCTACTTCTTACAATTTTTAAAGGTCTTTTTATTCTTTTAAAGAAAAAATTTGGGAACTTTTTTATCTTTTAAAATGTTAGTAGATAAGTGCTTCATTACAGATTACTCAATAGAGTCGGAACATTTATTTCGAGTAGTAAAAGTCAGATTACCGACCAGAGAGTTGGGACTAAAATAAACTTGTGGTATGGAATGAATAATATCAATAAGGTTCAAGTGTCAAATTGTTTATAAAATGTTGTATTTTACATATTTGTTTATTTAGAGTCTTAATTTTGTCTACAGATTATCCATGGGGTATTCGACTATGTCAAAGAGTGGATGATAATGTTGTGATTACTTTAAATGCCAGAAACGGACAGGATCGCTCCAAGTTTGTGGATGATTTAAAAGAATCCATCCTTGAGGTAGGTTAGTGGAAGACCAATATTAGGCTAAAAGAGAGGTCATTATTTAGGCACGTATGTATTGAGCCTTTTATCAGGAAGTAAGGGTACCTTTGTTTGTTTTGGTGTGGTGATAATTATTTCTGGCCATGATAAAGAATCTCTGACGTATATTATGTCACAAAAAACAGCAGTTATGTTAAAAGTTGTTTCCTAGGAGGTGAATTTATCTAATCCTAAATTTTCTGCCCTATGTCAGGAAGGTGCTCTTTAAAAACATGAAATTTTTATCTTATTTCTTACAGATGGATGAGATGGAAAATATGAGGATTGAGGCAGAACTAAAGAAACAAACATCTGTGAGAAATCGTTGTAGTGAAAATAGAGACTCGGGAGTGGCTGATGTAGAGATTGTTTTTACTTCAAGCAAAGAAACTCTGCGAGTAGCTAGCAGTCCTTCAACAAAACTGAATCACTCGCATCTGTCTAACTCACTACTTGACCTGTATGATTATCGTAAGACATTTTCATTTATTATATCATAGGTTTTGTCACAGTTATTTATTACTTTTAACTTCATCACTTCTGGTCAGCTTTTTTTTTTGTAGAATTAGGGAAGAGTGTTATGTATACTATAATTGAGGAGATTACTTTGTATCAGTTCTGTCTCTAAAACTTAAGTAACACTCATAACAAATGAAAATTTAACTTTTTTTCCCCCCCTATTAGAAATCAAACCAGCAAGAAGAGGCAGTGCAGGGTCCCTTGACAGTGGAATGGTGAGTCATTATTAAACAAAATGTTCTTTACCATCTAGCGAGTCATTACTAAACAAAGTGTCTCACCACAAAATGTTCTTTACCTTCTAGAGAGTCATTACTAAACAAATAGTGTCTCACCACAAGATGTTCTTTACCATCTAGCGAGTCATTACTAAACAAAACGTGTAACATTAGAAACTATAATATGTTAGTTACTAGAAGCCTGGATACTGCTGCAGCTTTAGTAGAATTGTAATAGAAATATTTACTTGAAGTTAAGGTTTTTGTTTTCAATATGAGCTTACTTAGAGTGAAGTGACTAAAAGAAACCTTTTTTTTTTTTAGTCAATATCATTCTCCTCCTCCACAACTAGTACGTTGAGTCAAGGATCTGTACCACAGAAGATTCCAATTAATAGAACAACAACGACCACTATGAATTCCATAAACAAATCTTCACAAAATACTGGGTTTTTTGGTAGTTTATTTGGTAAAAAAGGAAAAACTTCTAATAGATCAAAAGTATATTAAAACTGGTTACTTCTACATGTCAAAGTTGGTTAAAAACAACTGTTGTGGACTATACTGATGGACGACATCTTGTGGGGGTAGCAGCATTAAGAAGTGTTGATGACAAGTTTATCTAACTTGTGCATTTTTAACAGAAATGTAATAAGATAAGAATTTATTTTTGTACAAGATTATGGTGTATCTGAAAACTTTATGTACACAATCTTTCTCCAAATTAAACCACATATGAGAAAAACTCCCTACTGTTCTATTAAAAGGTGCAAACAGAGGGAGACTGTTCTGTAGCCATTACAAATAGGCCTTGTTTAGGAAAGTTTTATTTAAATGTTAGCATGTTGAGCTTTCAGTGCCTACTTTTCTTATTGTTAGTGCTCAGAGCAACAAAACTAATAGGTGTATCTAGTCAAAATCCATTCAGAACTAAACTTAGGTTGTGAATTTTTAGTTAGAATTCAGCACATCATTAAAAATTACTTAACACTTGTCCCAGGCTAGAAAGTTAAATATTACAAACATCAAATAATGTTGTAGAGTTGTTTTGGCATTTAAAAAATAATAATTGGGCAAATTATGTGGAGGTAGAAACCACTTACATTCCCAAGATGCTGTATGGTATTCAGCTCGACCTACGTGCACTTACTTTAAGCACAGTGTTATCATTATGTGACAGTTTCAGTGTTTAACTAAAATAACACTTAAGCACTGGCAACAACACAAGTTGTACAATATTTTGTATTATTAACACTAGAGGTAAACAAGCTACCATCTAGTTAACACCTTGTGTCTTAATATTGTACAGGTGTTTTAAGCATGGTTTGGGTAAAGTACCAAGTAATTCTACAAATTTAACTGCCAGGTCTTCCTTAAAGATTCTGTTAAAACTGACTATATATATATTGAAATTATTTATGTAATTATTATGAAAAAATAAATAAAAATCAATGTACCTCAGTGATGTTTCGTAGTTTCTGTAAGATAAGAAAACTAAACATGTGGTACCCAATTGTTGTTTACAAAAACATTTTGAGTGTCTAATGTTTATATTTTAATGTCATGAAAAGGTTTAGTCCGAGAACACTCGAATCCTTGCGCGAGTCCTGTCTGTATAAACAAAGTAATGCATTACTTTTTAATTGAAAGGTTTGGACAAATAATACCAGGAACAGCTATACGAAAGAAACACTTGAAGTAATGTAAAACTAAGACAGTTTGCTAAAGATGCTATACTAAATTGTTGAAAATCAGTTTGTATGGAAGATGGACCACAGCAACAGATTGGTACAGAGATGTCCACAAAAAGTGTCCCTTGTAGTATAGAAGAACTGGAAATTTTTAAGTACTTTCACTATATGTCAAAATATTTAATGTTTTACTCTACTTCACAGATAAAACTTGGACAAAAACTCTGAGGCACCACATTTATTAGTTTCACATGCTTTACATTTCAGTGGAATGCAATGAAGTTACAGTTAGTTTATACGTTATTCTAAAAAACGATATTACAGACAGTAATTCGGATACTACAAGATAGATGCTAATCTGTTTTATTCACGTACATCATTAGTGCTAAAGATACTAAAAGTACCCTTACAATATAACAGATACTTATCCGTAAAATAACAGGAGTCAGCTATTGAAGTATTCTTGTGGATGCCCTGAGAGAAAACAAGAAGAATATTACACATTATTAAAAACAAAGATTTTGTTCCCATTTAGTGTGTGTGTGTGTGTGTGTGTGTGTGTGTGTGTGTGTGTGTGTGTGTGTGTGTGTGTGTGTGTGTGTGTGTGTGTGTGTGTGTAAAATGCTATCAAGAACTGAATAACACGCATGGTTTTAAAAATTTTCTACACTTTTAACAAAAATTACTTATGCTTACAGCATTATTCTGTAGTTCTTAATATTTGAATGTGTTTCAGAAGCTTGCACACCCTAATTTTTACTGTAGTTCTTAATATTTGAATGTGTTTCAGAAGCTTGCACACCCTAATTTTTACTGTAGTTCTTAATATTTAAATGTGTTTCTGAAGCTTGCACACCCTAATTTTTATTTTCAGTTCTAATGTAGAATAATTTAAATATGATCAAATCACAGCTTTCCTTATGTAATGTAAGTTTGACTTGATTATCAAAATTTACTTTAATGACATTTAGGAAAAACCTGAATGTTTACCAGACACAAAGTAGTAATTAACAAACTATGGACCCCAACTATCAGTCTAGTTGGACTGTTAGTTTACCGGAGAAACAGTCAGTTGTTCAAAAAATTAAAATTATTCTGTGTAGTGATCACGTTTACTTACATCTATTAAACATTATGATAAAAGTCTTCACTTCTGATCATTGATTACATAGTAACAATTTCTTTAACAGCTTCTTCAATACATTTAGCACTGATACCAAACATGTTCAATAGTACATCTGATGGACCACTCCGAGGGATCTTTCTCACAGCCAGTCGTTTCTGAATGATGTTCCTCTCCATGGAGACGACTTCACCAACTGCATCACCCAGGCCACCTAAAATACAACAATCATGACTTTGTTTACACAATGACATCCTACTAAAGCTACTACCCAATCGGTTATACTGATCTCCCTGGAGTTACTGAAGCCTGTGACTGGATCTTTCATTTTAATTATCACTAAACAAGCATGTTCAAACATTTGCTTTATGTAAAATAACTTAATTCTTTCAACAGAAGTCTACTACCAAACATAACTACACTAACAGGTATGTCAATGCCCTTGTTAAACAAAAGGACTTGTTACCCTCACCTCAACAACATCTACACTTAGGACTATGGACAAAAATGGTACCTTCTAACCATGCCACTTTTTCTGAAGTAGAGGGGTAGTAAAATAAAACCTTTAACCATACTTGGTTGCTGATAATTCTAAGTGTGAGATACATGTACGACAACTCCCTAACCAATCAAATTTCAAGACTTACAGTTTAGTAGCAGTTTCTAACTCCTTCAGACTGAGGTTCATTTAGCTTTTCTTCACATTTTTCCACTTATTTCAAGTGCTATACAACAATATCCCCCCTTTCCAGCTAATGGCCCCTCAACCACCCCACCTCTTCAGGTTAGCATCCCCTCCAGCCTAACAATTCTTCTGGCATACAGAGACACCTCACCTTCGGGATAGTGGTCTTCCACAGTAATGATCCTTCCACCACATTCTCTTGCATTTTCAAGGATTGCTTCTTTGTCGATGGGCTTCAATGTGAATGGATCCAACACTCGAATATTGATACCTTGCTCAGCCAATGATTCTGCTGCTTTCAGTGCCTCGTGAAGAGTCACACCAGCTCCAATAACCAATACTTGGTCCCCATCACTCTGCTTCACCACCTATGGATAAAGATTGTTCATGTTCTTTACAATTCATACCTGGTCCCTGTCACTCTGCTTTGCCACCCATAGAAAGTGTTTACTACTGCTACATTAGCACTTGAAGAGATGGACTAATTACAAACTAAAAATATCCGAGAGATTAGAACATACACGCGATAACGTTCTGCAGTTCATGTTTCAGAATGGTATTTTGGTGGATTTTGTTTTTTAACTAAATTAGCAGATTAAACATTCCTGGTCTCTCCTTATAGTTTTTTTTTAGTTAAACTTAACTCTAACTAATAAGCTACTTGGTTTGAAGACATAATTAACAATGATTACATTTTAAATACAGTGTCAAGACTGAAAAAGAAGCACAACTGAATTTACTTAATATGCCACAATCTGTCAACAAGATTTTATGTACTTGCAAGTTATAATTTTAAAATTCTAAACACTCTTAACTTATTTTACTTTAAACTTATTAGTCATTAATATAAAAAGATCTAGAATGGGTGAAAATATCAGATACATGATAGATTTACATACCATTAATATATGAAAAATGGTATCCAGGTTTTTCTTAAATCACTAATATTTTTTCTTTATAAGGTTTTTTCACAAATAAATCACACTAATATTAAATAAGAGTTCAAACTTTAAAATAATAATAAAAGTTACCTTTGCTTTCCCAACTTCAAACTTTTCATCATTTGAATAGATCACAGCAGTTGCAGGCCGAGATGTACGAATAAAACAGATACCTTGGGTTTGTGCAGCCAGTTCACATGCTCGTTCAGCTGACACAGCTTCACTTGGGTAGAAGACCGTTGCTCCTGGAAGAGTACGGAACATAGCCAGGTCCTCAAGTGCCATCTGGGATGGACCATCTTCACCTGTTTGTACAATGTACTTATCACTTTCACACTAATCAAAAAATTTTAACTCCTACTAGAAGTTAG